TTAGCTTTCTCCTTTTATTGCAGAAAAATGAGAATTATTTACAAATAAATTAACAGAATCTTGCAAGACAGAATAAAGTTCACATGAAGAATTTTTGTATAAAAAAGGATAAAAAGAGAGACCAAAGAGAAGAAGAAGGAAAGAAACTAGAAAATAAGGAAGCCAACAGTAATAGCATTCGGTGGAAGAGAACGAAAAGGTAATCGTTCTCCTTTTTCCAGTTGAGATTTCTTCGTATGAGAGAGGCAAAAAAGTAATCATTCCCCCCTATTTTAGAAAAGAAAAGAGGGAGGGACAAAAACCTTCACTCCCAAAAATTCGGCAGAAGAGAACCAAAAAAAAAGATTTCTGATTCCACTTCACACAATTTTTTTTTTCTCTATTTTCTCGTCATTCTTCGTTTCCTTAGTTAGATTTCACCTTTTTTTCGTCATCCTTTTCGCATCCCCATTTAGTCTTCCTCCGAGGAGAAGAAGGAGCCCTGGTTGCCGTCGGCCCTGACGTCTCCGACGGCGGGGACGGCGTTGGACTCCAGGATGCGGAAACCGTCGTCGTCGGCGATGTACTTGACGAAGTACTGATCGCCTTCGGGGGAGGTCCAGCTGATGGGGCGGGAAAAAAGGGGGAGGGGTTTGGTGAAAATTGATTGATAAAAGGATAAATGTAAGGTTTCTTGACTTTTATTTCATGTAATGCAAAAGAGAGAGGGAGTGGTAAGGATGCGGTGACGTCAGAGTCACGTGATGGATCAATAGAATATTCACATGTAGAGTCTTTATAGGTGGATAGATGAATGAAATGATGAAATATATTGAATATAGAGAGAAGGGGGTCTTTACTGGTTAAAATTGACGCATAGTGGATGAGGTAGATCGATAAAGCTAAATTTGTGGATAAAGTGTAAAATGCAGTATTGCTGTTAATGGATAGTAGATACACACGTTTATTTGGTTAATGATGGAAGGGGGTTCTTGATCGGTTAAAGCTGATAGAGGGATAATTTTCGATACGGCTAAGCTAGTAAAAAAATTGTCATATATAGCATTTGTTTAAATGGACAGAAATATTTGTTTATTTATAAAAAGAGGAAACGACGTTTTTCTTTGGTTTAAGATGATGAATGGATGGCTAGATAAACTGGTATAGGAATATAGACCGCTAGATGTGAAAGGAAATGATAAGAAATAAGAATAAAGAAATGAAGAATGTAGAAAGAAATATGATATAGTAGATAAGCTGTAAAACTGAAAATTAAGATTTTCAGTTGGTTAAGATAGAAAGATAGAACATTTAGAGCACTAGTATAGATCATCATATAAAAAGAAAGACTATATATTTTTTTCTTTTTCTTTTTCTTTTATCCAGAGACAGTAATCACATGCTAATACTGAGAGGAAAAGAGACGCTACGGTTTGAAAATTGATAGATAGAAGAATAAAATTATCTTTAGGATGAGTAAATGGAGAGATAGATGGGGAAAAATATAGTACAGAGAAATAGTAAAAAGAGGGTCTTGGTGAAGAGAAATGGATGAATAGATGGGATAAGATTTATATACACGGTGAATAGTTAAATAGATAAAAACTTAGTGGATAGATCGGTGATTGGTGTACGTAAGGGGAATGATGACACTGTGTATTATATGTGTAAAAGAGATTTCATGGTGGTTCGTATAAAATTATTTTTAGCTAATGGATCCCTTATATAGACAGATGCGCCCTCTCCCCTCAGACACGTATAAAATCTATCCAAATCCACACTCCTATCCATCTACACACACACAAACATGCGGACAGACTCACATCTACAAATACACACACCCTTCCCAACCTACCCGCGCATATCCACACATACACCTAACCAGTCAGACCCAAACACACAATCTTGCGCATCCACACTCAGATACAGACCACCTGCATATCCACACACACATCCTTACCCATTACCTACCACATACACACACCCACAGCTACCCACATTCACACCACTACTCGCACCCATACACACCTTACCTATCCAGCCCTATCCACAACCACCACACCACACCTACGCACACCCATCCACACGCATTACACACACTCACACCGTTACCCATACCCTACCGCCAACCCCACCACATCCATCCTATATCTACGCCAACTCACCCCACACTTCTACACCACCCCCACCCACACCCCTACCACCCACACCCACACACCTGTAAGTTCCGGTTACGACCTGGTCATCAACATCCTGGTCGTGGTGGAGGTCATCAAGGTCGAGGTCGAGGACGTTCTCGGGGCGGGCGGGCGGCGAGGGCGCGAGGCCGAGGAGGACGAGGAACTGAAGGGAAGGAGGAAGAGGGAAAGGGGGATTAAACGGGGAATACGCATGGAGGAGGTGGGAGTGAGGGAAAGGGACGAGGGGAGGGGAAGAAGAAGGGAGAGGGGGGGGAGTAGGAGGAAGGGGGAGAAAGAGAGAGAGAGAGAGAACAACAGACAGACAGACATAAATAGAAGAG